AGTGCCAAGCAGTTGCTTTTCCACTGAGCCACAGCCCCTCTTTGCAGCTCTCCAGGGTCTCAGGCTGAGGTCTTTCTCATCACCTGCCGGCCTGGCCTTTTTAACTGGAGATTCTGGGGATTGAACCTGGGAACTTCTGCAGGCCAAGCAGATGCTCTGCCACTGAACCACGGCGCCTCCCCAGGATTGAAGGGGGCAGAGATGAAGGGGCAGCTTTGCCATGGAAGAGGCGCTGGGCAGTGTCAGTTGCCCAAGGCTGTGCTCCGGACTCCCTTCCTCATCAGGCGCATTTGCATGCATGCTGATTGCCATGCCTTGTTCAGTAGGCGAAATATGTGGAGATTTTGGGGGGCGGAGCTTGGGGAGGGGAGGGACCTCAGCAGGGTACGACGCCAGAGAGTCCGCCCTCCAAAGCAGCCATTTCCTCTAGGGGAACTGATCTCCATCGTCTGGAGATCAGTGGTAACAGTGGGAGAGCCCCAGGTCCCACCTAGGGGGGTTATACGAAAAGAACAGTACCGTGACCCAGTTGCTAAGATGGTACTCTTTAAATATGTCAGTACTGTTTTACACAAAATAACTGCATGTCGTTCACAATAAATTACATCAAAGTGACTATTACCATGTGACAAAATACCCATCGAGCAGTGGCAGAGGACTTTGACCATACGGACAAATGGGACTATTCCAACCCCCACAATATCGACCACCTATCTTGCTAAGAAACAGCCCGAGTCCTGTAATCAATTAAGTGCTGTAATCGATCAGATCCACAAGGTCATACGTTGCGGCACTCCTCCTTGGCTGAGACACAGATGGGCTGGCAACGCAGTGTTCCCTCTAAGCTGAGTGAGCGTGAGCTAGCTCACAATTTTTTAGCCTCCGGCTCACACATTTTTGTCCTAGCTCAGGGAGGAGGGCTCCGTAGCAAATCAAGGTATGCAGCAGCCAAATCGCTCGCTGACAACTTTAATGCCAGTGGCTCACAAAGTAGAATTTCTGCTCACAAGGCTCCACAGCTTAGAGGGAGCACCAAGAAGACAGAGCATCCCTTGCCCCAGACCGAGAGTTCCTATCTACACCTTGTGTTTAATAGCCACTGAGGGACCTCTGCTCCATATGCTTATCCAATCCCCTCTTGAAGCCGTCCATGCTTGTAGCTGCCACCACCTCCTGTGGCAGTTAATCACATGGATCTGCCCTGCTGCCACCCTTCCGTAGGGAAA